TTGCAGCCTCGAACCCCCCCCCCCCCTCCCTAATGCAGAATCGGCTTTAAAGGGCAGGGATGATTCGCCCCAATGTGTGTTTCCTTATTGGCGGGGGTGGGTGTTTATTGAAAGGGGAAGGGATCACTTAGTTAGTTAACAGTTAGTTTGATAGCTAGCTAGTTAGCTATGAATTTCAGTATTCGTGATATGATTATAATGCATACCCGCAGCACCGGCATGTGTGTGGGTGCGTGTTTGTTTCCAGCGCTTTGTGAACGACCGTCTCGATGTTGTGAGTTCTACCAAATTTCGTACTCATGTATTGAGAGCCTTGAACAGCAGAAGCCCAAGGTGGTGTCACGAACCGCTCGCACCTGGATAACCTGAGAGATACGACCCGCTTTCCTACTTGGGTCGCAGAAAGCTTTGCGCATATCTAGTTAATTTGGGCGGTGTCTGGAAGCAGCGAGGACTCGGGACAGGTATGTCAACCTCAAATTACAAGGCACCGAAAGCGTGGAGGCAGCAGGTGTTTTCCCAAGATCCGGTGGCAAAGAAACGCAACTCCTCTTTCCAAGGCCATTCCTTAGACAGTCCATGACAGTCCTGGCAAGCTCAGCCAGCAACGGTGTGACGTCTTGTCTAGCTTGCAACTCGAAGCCGGAAATGGGCACAAGGTCTCCGAAGCCATTATGTAGACTCGGAAGAAGTCCCGGTCTTTCGCCATCTTCCAGAACTACCACCCTCGTAGTGCGACATCGGCAGTGCAGCTGAAGATCGGCGCGCTGAGACCGTGACTTTGTTTTGCGGGTTGCACCTGCCGGCTAGGATTGGCTATGATGGGCTGAACGAATGAAACCCAGCAGGAGGCAGAAGGTTGGGGTGGAGAATGGTGGAGAGAGTCTTGGGTATGGGAGCCACGCGTTCTGAGTCTGGATCGAGCTGGTTCAAAGAGCCATTCTGCGCGCGCGCATGCGAGGAGCTGTCTTTCTCTGCTCTGAGCTGCGTATGTTAATGTCCCAGTTGCGAGCTTTTGCCGCGGCTTCCTCCAAGCAGGACCGACGTGCAGTGCATGCCAGCGGAAAAAGGTTCCAAAGATCCTGACCGTGACCAGGAGGTTTGGGGGTATGTGTGTGTCGCTGTATACCATGTGCACACACACAGAGGGACGCCGTGCGATGGAAGCATTCGGCCGACGGTTGTAGTTGGGCACACCACTGAGAGCCGTGAGAGCTCCTTTTCCAGCTTGCAGCTTGTTGCATGTGGCGAGTAGTTTTCCTGTTCGGGAAGCTTTCTGCCCGCATCGTTGTGGTGCCTTGTGTTGGTTGGATGGGACTACTACCCAAGTACTCAAGATGTGATTCGTTGTTGCCTATTTGTCTCACCTCTTCTGTCTGCTTATTAAACCTTAGCCGAGATTCCCGTTTCCCGCCAATCATCGGTCAGACCAAGGACTTTCCGCCTGGGTGAGATAGAGCATCTCCCCGTAGGCTGGTGGGGGTTGTTTCGACGACCTGAGTTTGGCGTCATGGGGTCGTCGGGCCCTTGTGGCAGGGAGCACCTTCGACTTCCGAGCTTCGGGAGTTTGGGGTGATCGTTTCGCAACGAAGTGATTCGGCTCATGACGAGCGCAGAGTCTTTTGTAACGATGTGTAAAGAAAAAAGAATCGGATTGGCCCGGTGTATCTGCTACTTGCAAACCCTGGCTGCGCAATGTTCTGGGGGTGTTTACACTTCAGGTCATCGTGTCACTCTTAGAATCCGGTAGGCCTAGGGCCCAGTGCACCTCGCAACTCGTGCAGCAGCAACTCGTGCAACTGGCCTGTTCTATTCTATTGTCTACGGCCCACGTCTTGCACCCGGGTTCAATGTAGCTGGGATGTCCTGAAAGGTGATGGGGTCGTGAACTGCCTCATCTCCAACTGTGCCAGGCTCTTGGACGACCCCGCTGCTGCCTGACAGGATACTATAGGACGTCGAGGAACACGCCCTCATATGCTTCACCGCAAGGACAGGTACCCGCCCTCTGATCGCTCTCGGAGTCCTCAGACGGAACAGGCAGTCCCTCATGAGGCACCAATAGGGTGCTCCGGATCGCAGCTGGAGGAATGACCTCCTGTCGAGGTGACTTCCCTCTACTACGGTCCCTACCCTATGACCTAG